CACACATGTTTATGCATATATATATATATATATACATAAATACATACATACATACATACATACATACATACATACATACATACATACATACATACACACATGCATGCATGCATGCATGCATGCATATACATAATCAGTTGCGCTTATGCGGCTGTAAATGACACGTATTATGTGCATGTATGTGTATACATGCATTATGTATACATGTACATAAAGCATACACAGGTAATCACAGGTACATGCACATGCTGTCTCTCTCTCTCTCTATATATATATATATACACATACATATATATATATATATAACTGGGGTTCCGGGTTTTAAGGGTCTCGGCAATGGCCTTGTGGGAGCTTTAGCTTCTTATTTGTTATAGCGTTGCTTGAGGACTTTGTAGGGCTGTATTGGCTGGCAAACCAGTCTGGAAAAGCTCCATCCTGTGGTGAACAGATATGTCACACAAGTATTAGACAGACCTTGATCTTTTTCAGCAATGCTTCGACTGTTCGGAAATGGAAGCAGTCTGCAAACGGCCTCCAAAGTCATCGTGCCGGTGGGCACCACGATTTTATCCTGAGCTGCAGGGAGACTTCAGAAGCTCAGACATTCGCCGTACCGAGAGGGCAGTTGGGTGTTCGGGGATATGACCTCCGCTGACTTGAAGAGGCTGACAGCGGTGTGTCCTACCGCCAACTGGCGGTGCCTTCGAAAAATGTTTGTATCTCGACGGCCCGCTGCGTGCTTGGGACATCTTGGCTGGTAGCATTTCTCTGAGCTGCCACCGGGAGGCCCATACACTGTGCTTTTCGGGATAGGAGGCGTAAGCCTCTTCCACGACATACTCAGCCTGGTGGCAAAGCGGGAATAGGCTCACAATGGACGGCCTGCCAAGCTGTGCGTGAGCTGCTGAACTCGGGCAAAGCCAAAGCCCGTGCTAGCCCAAGATCCTACGCATCAATCCTGAGCCCTGCTGGCCTTGATCTTGCCGGCTGAATCGAAAGCATCCGGTGGGAGATCTTCTGCCTTGGGCCGCAGAGCAGGTGACAACGAGTAAATGGGCCCTGTCCAACAAGGTCATTGCCAACACGTTGATGCTCACCATTGCCAGAGTTGCTACCCGGGTTATTGGATTGCTGTTAAGGCGTGGTTTCTATGCCTGTGCTTACCAGCAGGATTTTTTGTGCCCACGATCACAGCCCTCAACGAAAACCTCAAAGGTGCAGGATAAACCGTGTTCCCCAGGTCCCTATCAAGCTAAACAGTTTAGAAGCCCCTTAATTAAGTCCTACGCCAAAAGGCTTACGAATGTAAACCCCCTCAACCTTAAACCGAATCCGGTAGAGGTAGGCGTCGGAGCTGAGTACCCTGCCCGCGGCACCTTCTTCTCCACGCCCGAAGCAAACGTCTTTGGCTCCTGCAGTGGGTTACTAACTTAAGAATAAAATCCTGTTGTTGACTGTTCCCAAATAATTTTGTTGCTGTCAATACTGTTTTTCTGTTACAACTTACTGTTACTACTGTTACGACTATTACTTCTGACAACGATACAAAATCTTGCTAGTCACTTGATGAATTCATTCATTCAGCAACTCAGGTTTTGAGCGTCGATCATCTCAAAGGTCTGTATCACTGGCAGAGAGCCGGTCCTGGGCTTCAAAAGAGGTGTAGGTGTTGACGGCGAGACCAACCTCCCACACAACAGCGCTGAACCAGGTGAGCCAGCCACGGCAGAACAGCCACTCCATGCAGGACTGATGATTTTAATTCCGTCCCGGCTCACCTGCCGGGTGCGGAAGCCCTCTGTGCCCTTGCCCAAGAGGAGCTTGAATAGCTCAAGCATGACCTTGGCTTGTCGGGCTCTTGTTGTAGACTTTGCGATACTACATGGTTCCTGGACTCAGGCTGAACACGTGTGAACCATCTGCAAGACGGAACCGACAGCCACGGCATGCCTCGTAGCACCTGCTGGTGCTTCGCCAGCCATACGAGATGAACTTGGGTATTTCCGACTCTATGTGGGAACTTCCCTTTGCGGCCCCTTGCTGCCAGCTGCAAGATGAAATCTCAAGCTCCCGGAAGCCCTACCAACCCCCACATCCACTCTTCTGTTCAAGCTCCTTTTCTCTTCCTGCGCCTTTTGCAGCTCCCGTGCACAGGCGCGGCGCTTCCTTCGCTCTGCTTGGAGCTGAGCTTCGGCCTCGGCAATGCCCTGCGCAGGGGGACGGTACTAGGATTGTCCATTTGTCGCTAATTCATACTACTAAGCGATGACAGTTGATAATTACTCGGTGCTCTGCCACTCCCACTCTTGTTCCTGTCGATCTATCATAGGCAGCTATGAGCACTTCATGGGTTCTTGGTGTTACCCTGTGTAGGCCAGGCCTGGCGCAGGTGTTGCAGAGCCTCCTGTGAGCTTTGCAGCTGCTGCTGCATGGAGCTCCGCAGCTTGCTGTGTGACTCGTGCACGGCACCAGCCAGCGGCTGCCGCGGGTCCCAGTTTCCACCGGAGTTCAGCGGCTGGGCCTTCAAGGACAGACAACATCTTGGATTCAGAGGCACACACACACATTATGCAACCCTTCTTTGCCAGGGCGAAGATTTCCGAAACAAAAACATGAAAGTGAGAAAGGGGCCATCAACCCCTGCAGAAACCTATGGAAAAATGCATCCTCGCAAGACGCCTCGAGAAACTGCTGGAGCTCGTGCATCTCAGACTCCAGGCGGCAGTTTTCCGCAACCAGACGTTCGGAAAGGGCTGTGCAGTCCGGGGCGTGCGTGGAAGAGACCAAACTTTGTGCCGCCTGCAGCAATGAGTCATGGTGCTTCTTCGCCATCGATGGCGGGTTCAGGTTGAATGGCTCCCGAGTAGGCCCATGGATTTCAGGTGGGCGGGTGGCAGCCGGCGAGGTCCAGTATGATTGCATTGGCTTCCGCTCGACCAAGCCATGATCGCAGCGTAGGCGCAGCTGCCTTAGCTCTTCCTTGGCCTCTCGAAGCTCGTCCTCCAACTGCCAGGCCTCTTGCAGGGCGCTCGCGTTCATGCTGGGGTCGCCTTCCGCCTGCACTGTAGAAGGCATCTGTGGCTCAGGGCAAGCAGAAACATGAACAGTCTGCGGTTTGCGCCACGAAGACGAAAACAGAACGGGAGTTGAACAACGCAAAGCCTGGAATTCTGTGCGCCAGCCCTCACACATTTCTGACACAGAACCACCCAAGAGCAGGTTCTGAAGAACGGGATGAACGTCCATCATTCTCTGCCATTATGATGGGACTTCTAGCATGCGGGGCTGGAATTTGATGCCAACATGTTCAGGCCTCTTTCATGCTCGCAAGATGGATCCCAAACCCTGTACCCTTGGCCTCCGAAAGGCTCAACTCCTCGACCTCGTCGCCGTCACTGTGAACCTGCTAAAGAGCAAGAATCGCACGTGCAACAGGGAAAATCGTTTTGCAAGCTACTGCTACCACTCCTTCTCCTCCTCCTGGGGCTCCTCCAGCTGCCGCTTGTGCTGCTGCCGCTACCACCACCACTGCCTACACCACCGCCGCCGCCGCCGCCGCCAACACCACCACCACCACCACCACCACCACCGCCGCCACCACCACCACCACCACCACCACCACCACCACCACCACCAAGACCACGACAAAATACTCCTGCTAATGCCGACCAGAGTGAGTGATTTGCGGTAAACGACACATCAACGTACATCGAATTGTATAGTTAAACCGTCACGTCAACGTACATCGAACTGTATATTTAAACCATAAACTGACAGAGACATACATACATACATGCATACATACATACATACATACATACATATAGATAGATAGATAGATAAAGACACATGTGTATACACATGCAACATATACGCATATATACATATATATGTACATAGTGTATACTCACAGACACCATGCGACACCCCTTCAAATCCTGGTCTAATCATTCGGGCCCTCCATGGGAGGCCTCGACCTCGGCACGCAGAGCGGCCTCCAACTCTGAGGCCTCGGAGGCCGCAGACTCCTGCTGGCGGGATACCGAAGTGAAGGCAGAAACGAGGATCTGAAAATATGACACACACACATATGTATATATATATACACATACAGATGCATTTATATGTACATACATACATATCTATATATATATATATACACATACACATGAACGTATATGTGTGTATATATATATATATGTATGTTTGCATGTATGGATGCATGTATAGATGCATGTATGTATGTATACACAGCTATCTATCTATCTATCTATCCATCTATCTATCTATCTATCTATCTATCTATCTATACATATATACATATATACATACATGAATATACATATATACATACATGCATACACATAGACATATATATATATATACATATATATATATATATATGTATTATACACCCATATGTACATACAGGTACACAGAAACACAAAAACAATTATGTGTGTGTATACATATGTTGAATTGTGTTTGTTCATTTGTGTTTCGTCTATATAGCTAAATTTGTTGGTTTGAGCATTTATTACTCAACTATTTATTGGTTCGTGTATACAGATATGTGCATGGACGGGTGGTTGGATTGATGGATGGATGGATGGACAAGTGGACGGATGAATCTATCTATCTGTCTGTGTCTGCGTGTCTGTGTTTGGCTGCCTCTGTGTGTGTGTGTCTTTGTGTCTGTCTGCCTACCTATCTATCTACATACCTTCCTACCTACCGATCTATCTGTCGGTCTACCTCGCTGGCTAGCTATCTCTTTATCTCTCTCTGAAACTGCTCGTCATATCAATCTCTATTCTTCTACCTCTAGCTCCAGCTCTAGCTCCAGCCCTATCTCTATCTTTAGCTCTCTCTCTCTCTCGAGGCGGAAACTACAACTGTGTGGGCGCACCCTGTGGTCCCTTGTTGTGCCTGTCGTCGTGGCCTTTACAGTTGCACCGATGAGTCGGAGGCTGTGGGTTGCGGGAGGGTGGGCAGGCGTTGGCGATGAGCATGCCCACTCCTGGCAAGCACGAAGCTCATCCACGGATGTGCGCAATGCAGCCACTCGCAACGAAGTAGCCGACTCCTGGACAAGCATTCAAACTTGAGGGACTTGTCTGAGAATGCAAGGATCCACAACCAAAGAGTAACCACCACGCCCAGACCACGACTACCAGAAGGAAACTTCAACACTGGGCTTTCACCACAGTACACTCGAAAGCTGCCGGCACCTGAGCTCGAAGCTCGGCAAGGAGACTTGCGGCCTCTTGCGTCTCGGCGCGCACCGCCTCCTCCTGCCCTTCGGCTAGGGAGACTTTCGGGCTTGGGACTTCTGGGGCCCATGGGATTTGGTTTTAGGCTTTGGCTTGCTTCTCGGTTTCCTTCTTTCGAAGCTTTGCACAGGAAGCGGCCTTAGCTGACCTCGTACAGAATCATGGGCTAACATGAGTGCCGGAACAATGGATTCTGGCACTCTGCGTGACAACCATGTCGATCCAAGTTGAAAGGAGTTTATCTCGGAGATGCTCTGTGGCAAGGGCTGACACTGTGATCTAGTCAAGGACCCACAACCAGTCAATCCTGAAGCCCGGAAAGTCGACTCCTGACCTGCTCTTATAGCCTTGTAGCTACTGACTCCTGCTACGCCGTTGCTGGTGCTATGTTCCGTGTGGTCTCCACTGCAACTCCTGCAGCAACACGACTCTGCTCGACCCGACACCTGAAAAAAAACAAAGGAGCCCAAATCCCGCAACAGCACCAAGTATCCCGAAAGCCTGGAACCCGCAAAGCTTCAAACCTGATGAAGCCATGTAAATCCCTACTATACACGCGAAAACGTCCCTAAAAACATCAAACTCCAATCAAACAAGATCCACCAAAAGCCCATGAGGGCCTCGGAGACGCGGCAGGTCTTCTGCCGGCATCGCCTGGCGCAGCGCGGAGAGCCGCAGCGCGGACGTTTTGTCCTTGGAGCATCGATTGCGCTTTGTAGGGTTTGCTTTAGGGTTTTGGGGTGTTAGACTGAATGTCTTACAGGGTTTTATAGCCTGCGTTTTAGGTCTTGAGGGTGTACCGGGGGTGTTGCATTTTTCGGCGGAGTCGTACATGACTAGCAAGATAAGTAGGACTGACTTTAAGGCCTTTACGGGCCTCAAATCTCCGTATCTACTGCTTTTGGATTTAGGGTGCTCTGGGGCTGCTACCTGTGCCCTCTCGGATGTCGGTAGGGAGTTTAGGGTTTGGGGTTTATAGGTTTGAAACCGTTTAGTGGGCTTTCGGGGGCCGAAGAACTGCTTCTTCACATCTACCTGTAGCGGAGTTGTACATAACTCGCAGAGATAAGTAGCACTAACAGTCACTGACTCTCACACACACACACACACACACTCTCTTTCTCTCTCTCTCTCTATATATATATATATATAAATGTATACAGATATACACCGAATATCTATGGATGTACACACACACACATGCATATGATTATCTGAAACATTGTGGTATGCGTGTCCATATATGTCTAAAACAGTCATCAACGCATACACATACATGGTAAGCAAGCAAAGACATCTTCATGCATTAGGCTGTCAGCAAGTCCATCCATACTTACCCTAAACCTGACTGAGTGTCGCGGCAGTGCTAACCAATCTCTTGGCTTTCACCGGGGTTGCTGGGTTGAGGAACGTTCTAATGGGCTGCGAGGCTTGCGGTAAGGTGTCCAGGAGCAGTCTACAGGCGGCTCTCTTAAATTTAGACAAACTTAGGGGTACCTTATTCAAGGCTCTCCCAAATCCCAGGGTCCTGCGCCCGCAGCGCCTCCGCTTCTGTCTCCAGGTCCCTAGGTTCGACAGAGAAAGCTCCGGGAGGCTCAAGGCTTTTAAGGTTGCAAGATCTTGGGATGTCTTTTGTGAAGACCTTATCACGCTGAGCCCTGTTGTCGAGAAGGCCAAAAAGTATAAACCCAAACGTACAAGCCCCAAACTTGAACCCAACCCCAAACTTGAACCCAACAAAATACTTTAACCCTAATACCCACAAAACCCTTCTAAACCCCTCCAAAACACTCATCAACACCCTCACAAACCCCCTCTAAGCAATCACGGCACTTATAAGCGGCTGTCAACCAAAAAAGCCGAGGCGCCTTAATACAGAACGATTTGGGGGTTCCTTATTGTAATTATAGTATAGTGTACCCCAAAAACCCTATTCCAATCATTAAGCCGCCTGTATTATCTTTGCTTCAACCCTAAACCCTCAACCCTTAACCGTAAATCCATTAGGATCCTGCCTTATTGTAATTATATAGTATGATGTACCCCAAAAACCCTATTCTAATCATTAAGGCCCCTATAATCCCTAGGTAAAGACCCTTATAATACCCTTTATAGTAACCCTGCTGAAGGAACCCTATTCCAATCATGAAGGCCCCTATAATCCCTTGCAATACCCTTTATAGTAACCCCTGTGAAGGTACACTATTCCAATCCTTAAGGCCCCTATATTCAACCCTTATAATACCCTTTATAGTAACCCTTCTAAAGGAACCCTATTCTAATCCTAAACCCTAAACCCCACCTTAACCTGCCAAAACCTACTTTTTTGTAGGGTCCCTATAAATTCCATAATCAGGTTCATAATAGGAACCTACAAAAAAGTGGGTTTCGGTAGGTTAAGGTAAACCCTATTCCACTCATTACCCTAAACCCTAAACCCTAAACCCTAAACCCTGAACTCTAAACCCTAAACTCTAAACTCTACTCATTAAGGCCCCGGGCACCTTAGCTCTCCTTTCAGCTCCTCGCCGCGGACGGCCGAGGCAGGGCCGGTCGCACGCAACCGCTCCTCTTTTCAGGGGCCCCGGTTGGGGTTTTTATGGGGTTTAACGGTTTCATAACATAGGGGCCCCGGTAGGGTTTTTATGGGGTTATTTAAAATGGGGTTTAACTAACGGTGTTGTTTAGGGTTTCATAGGGATTTGTAGGGTTTATGGGGTTTGAAATGGGGTTGTTTAGGGCTTCATAGGGTTTCATTACATAGGGGCTTGTAGGGTTTTTACAGGGGTTATAATGGTGTTGATTTTTAGGGTTTCATGGGGTTTCATAGAGATTAGTAGGGTCTTATGGGGTTTAATGGGGTGATTTAGGGCTTCATAGGGTTTCATAACATAGGGGTTTGTAGGGTTTATGGGGTTAGATGTGGTTTTTTCGGGTTCCATGGCGTTTCAGAGGGATTAGTAGGGTTTATGGGGTTTAATGGGTTGTTTAGGGTTCCATAGGGTTTCAGAGGGATTAGTAAGGTTTATGGCTTCATGGACTTTATAGGGTTGAAGGTTTAGGGCTCAGGGTCTGCAGGGCTTCTAGGCTTTCTAGCAAGGCTTATGGGGTTGAGGGCGTTTAGGGTTTCAGGGATCTTCAAAGCTTACAGTTTGGGGATGGATTTCGGCATTCTGGCCGGGGTGCAATGGTGCCCCAACCCAGGAGAGCGAAGGTTTCCAGCCCAACAGGACTTTGTTCATTGTTCAACTTTTCCCACCCTTTGCTTGCACGGGGGGTGCACTTCAGGCTGACATCCGCTGCATTGCAGCTTAGAGCTGAGCAGCGGACGGGAGAAGGTCGCCAAGCGCTTGCCGAAAACACTTCACCATGTTTATGGGGTTTCTGAGTACAAGGATGAGTCAGAGCAACCGATGGCGTGGACGGCCGGGTTGCTCTGAGTCCAGAGGGGTGGATACAGCCTACGCGGGCCTGGCTGGGCATTCAGAGTTTCGGGCTTCGGAGTTCGCGTTCGGGCTGCCCAGGATCATGTGGCTGAGTGTTGAGTGTGTAGTGTTTAGGGTATGCAGGCTTTGGCCGCTATAAGGGTATTAACAAGTTAAGGGTTTCGAGGGGATTGAAGGGTTCACAGGGCTAGGGGTTTGACTAATTCCATGGGTTCTGATAATGTTTTCACAAAAGTGCATCGGGGTTGCAAATTAAGGGGTTGGGGAAGGCCTGCAGAGGTTTTATTTTAGTAGCAGTTGCATACAGGACGCAAACACGCTCGGAACCCCTTAACGGCCTACACACATACAGACTAACACACACGCACAAAGGCACAGACCCCCCCTAAACGAAAAGTAAAGCCTCAACTCAGGTTTTAGGGCTGAGGGAACCCTAAACCCTAAACCCTAAACCCTGAACCCTAAACCCTAAACCCTAAACCCTAGACCCCAAAACCCTAAAAGCATCGAAGCCCTGAGCCCTCACTCCTCTGCCCGGCTGACAGCATCCTCCAGTCTGCGAGCAGCATCCTTGGCCTGCTTCAGGATGCAGGGAGGACTCTGAGGTTTTACCAAAAAGCACATACACACATAGAGACAGAGAGATTGCTTACATAGATAAGTATAGAGAGGGCGAGAGAGAGAGAGAGAGAGAGAGAGATTGTTTGGGGATGGGGGTTTGTAGGGGCAGACCGAGCTGGGCTGCAAGTAGGGGGCTGCGAAACATAATCGACAAAGAAGGTTACCGGCGCTACACATAGTGCGATCTATGCCGTATTGGTAGTGAGTGAAACTATGTGAGACTGCTGGAAATGATTAAGAAAGCACTATACATGCCGCTTCTATTCTTCTATTCCTTGAATATAAGAATCCTTTCAAAGAGTTGCTACTGTCCTGCTAAGACTCACAAGCATCACCCCTGGGGGTGTCTTCGATTCAAAGGGCGAAGTCTAAGTCTGAGCCGCGCCTCCTTGGCTTCCTCAGCCGCCCTCTTCTCGGCGGCCTCGGCCTCCCGGGTTTCGGCCTCCAGAACCTCCTCGGTGCCCACGTCCTTGGAGTCCTTGGAGGCTTAGATAATCGCTATAAGGGATTACGGTTTAGGGCCCTTGGAGTCCTTGGAGGCTTACATAATGGCTGAGACCTGCTCGGGTCTGGAGTCGAGGGTCTGGGGGCTTGGGTTGGGAGGCTACAAGGGATTAGGATGATGTGCATGTGAGGGAGAGGAGAGCGAAGAGCGAGAGAGAGGAGAGATAGACAGTCTACAGAAGAACACAGGCACTCCAGGACATGCATAACTTTACAGACATCCTGCTTACCAGCATCTACCGCTTCATTTGCATATGATAAAGCATATGTGCATATGAACCTGTAAGTATCTATGTACGTATGCATGTATGTACATGCGTGTCTACATATATATATATATATATATACACATAATATACACATGCACATATATATATATATATGTATGTATATATAAATGGTATATGCATACATACACATATGTGTATGTGTACCTATATATATATATATATATACATATGTACACATGTAACTACGTATACTAGAAACCCCCAAGGCTTAAAGGCTTGTGGCCCTCTGATGCTGCAGCAGGCTGCGAGAAGGATCGTGAAAACTTTGGGTGTCTCACACCCAGCAGTTGCAGCCATGTGTACCTGAAGGCCTTGCAATGACTTCGAATTTCAGAGTTGCTGGCCTGTCAGGCATGCATCTGGTGGCAGCCGTGGTGCATTCAAGCGGAAGCATGCTGCATCGATTGCTGTAAAGCCTATAACCCGTAGCCCCAAATTTTGTCCCTCGGCTCTTCTGCGGCCATGCATCCGCCGCTGAAGGAGGAGCCCCGGCTGCCGGCTTGCGGCGAAAGAAACGGTGCATTGCTTTGAAAGCAGACCCTTGAACCTTGGGCCTCTATTGTCACATGTACCTGTACTGTGACATGTGATCTGTCTGTCTTCAACGGCTGTTGAGGATGTACAATGCAGCTGGCGTGCTCCACAGACTACACATGTGCCGCGGTCATGACGTATGGCCTATGCTTTCGTGTGCTTTGGTGGCTGCGGCACATCACCCAGCGTATACAAACTCGTCTCGTCATTTTACGGCGATCAATCTGGAGGGCTGCCAACCTTGCCAATCCCTCCCGAAAAGTCTGGAAACCCTTCGCGACATGGACCCATGCTGTTTCACGATTCTCCAGTAAGCTGCTGGCTAATCCACAGACTGCTGCAGTGGTGGTGGCGATGGCAGGGACAATGCGTCCAGCCACTAGTTTGACCTTCGCGATAGTGGGATTGCTGGGCTTCCTCACTCCTCAAGATCATGGTGGATTGCCTCCGCTACACATTGGTCCTCCTCACTAGTTGTGCCCGTCGACAGCGTAAGCTCACAGAAGCCCGAGCAAAGCTGCCTTGTGAAAATCCGAATTGGCAATGTGGTAGTTGTCTGCACGGAGATTCGCGCAGCGGGTGATGAACTCGATGTGGAAGTTGAAGTCGTCGTCCTCCAGTGTTGAAGCATGTAAACGTCCCTCTAGGTCTCATCGTTTTTGGTTCTAAAGTGTTGGACCAGACAGAGGCTTGACCTGGAGGACAATAATGTAATGAAGCCTTACGCATCCTTGAGTAATATGGGATCTCGTCATTCGGACTCTGAACAAAGGGATCCACACCCAAAAACAGAACCTTGAAACCTTAAAGCACTAGACTTCACTAAACCCTATAAACCCTATAAAAACCCTAAGAGCCCTAAGAGTCCCTGAAAGCAGAAGGCCGCAAGCTCCTGGCCTGAATGCCCAAGAGCGCCCAAGCCCTAAAACCACCGAAAAGCAAACTCCCCCCCTCCTCCCCCTCAGACAGAAAAGTTTAGAGTTTAGGGTTTAGGGTTTTGGGTTTCCTAAACTAAACCACTGGAAGGTCCAAAACAGACTCGTGGCCGGCCTTCTCGAAGTCTGCCTCCTCGAGGGCCGGCAGCGGCTTCTCTTTGAAAGCCTCACGGTCACACGGCGAAAGGGCGCCGAGGAAATCCCAAAACCCCTGAACTTTCCCTAACCCCCCAGGTACCTACTATATAGGGTACTAGAGCCCCTAGGGCCCTATATAGTAGGTACCTGGAGGGTTAGCGCTGTAACCCCGAGAATTTAGGACTTTGTGTTGTCCGGATTCAGAGCTTAGGGTAGGGTAGTGAGACGACGGGCTTTCTGCTTGGACAGGATCCCCTTTTGGTCGAGGGGTGATGC